AATATAGTAAAATCTCGGGGCCTTGATTGCTTCCCCAGTAAGGACGGATTAACCCCGCTGTGCAGTGAATCAAACTCTGCCCTACTCGACTCCTCAATTATCCACTACAATCTTCTCCACAGTGAGGAGTAGGGGAGATACAAATAAGGCAAAGAGATTAATAACAGGGCAAGCGACTATAGTAGTTTATCGATAGTTACGATGAGCTTCCCCCCATGATCCTAATTAGCCACTAACCATACAAGTGGGGAAAACTCTATGCAAAAAATTCAAAACGAAATACCCACGTGTCAGGAAAGGCATCAATCACATACGCAATTCTACCTTCTACTTCCTTCTTTCTGCCCTTCTGGTCCTGTTGTGCACACGAGGAGTGATTACGGCCAACTTGTTATGTTCATGCTCAAGCCTGACGTACTTTTTCTCACGCAGTAACCGTGATAGAGGTTAGACTACCGGCGTATGGCTTCGACATCAATCGTTATGACGTCAAATGGTAATCCAAGTGTGCCGGCAGTTCGCATAAATTGCTATAATTGTCGTCAACCAGGTCATATTTCCAGGTTTTGTCCACTTCCTGCTACCTCTTTTTGCTTCTACCTTCTACTTCCTTCTTTCTGCCTTAAAGGTTCTGGTCCTGTTGTGCATAGGAGGAGTGATTACGGCCAACTTGTTATGTTCGTGCTCAAGCGTAACATACATACCTGTCCCACTAGCGGGGGTTCATGTATTTTCCAACGTGGTCACACTACGGTTGGGGCGTGAGATTTTCAGAGCGGATGGCAAGGAGCCATGTCTGCTCGAAACCATAACAAAACTTAGAGAAGTGGGACATGGCCTTCGGTGAGTCCTAGAGATAGGCCCAGAACATGAGTTTGGAACTCCACAAAAATACCCGAGGCACCAAGGGGCATATCTCAAAAACACCTCTACCTCCACCAGTGTTGGGAAAAAAGGGAAAAGAGGTTGTTTTCCCACTTTTTTCGAACTTTTCGGGGGTCAGCGGAGGCTCGGTAGTTGGGCCTCGTGGGCCCCTTTGAAAAGCGAAAACAAAAAAACAAAAGACCAAGTCCAGGAAGGTCTTGCATGAAGTTGTGCGCACACCAATACTCACAAGAAAGTATATAGCTACTATTGCGGTCAGTTTCAGGTTTTCGTTGTTTGTGTTTTTGTTTTCTGACTTTTTTTGTTTTGTTTTTGGTGCCCTGCCAGGGAGGCACAACGTAGTCCACGGGCTGCTGACACTTTGTGAAGGACGGCATGCCCACACTACAACTTTGCAGAATGTATGAACTTGCTTTGAAATTCCCGTTGCAGTTTCAATTTTATTTTATTTTATTTTTCCTTTCCTTTTTTCGTGGACCTGACACCCCTAGGGCTACGTCATACTACAAACGTTTTACCACGCGGCCGTTTGGTTTCCGATCACGTGTGGCAAACAGTGACACATATTGTCCGTCCAACTACAGGGATCTGAACGGTGGACGAGATTTGGAGGCCGTACTTCCGATATCATTCTCTCTCCCCCAATGACAGGCAGAGGAACCATTTTTTTTCACCAATTTCTTTCATTCTCAGGCCGGCGACGGGGATGCAATATTAAGGAGGTCGTGAGGTGGGGGTGATATTGCATCGAAACGACCCTTTTCTTTTTAAGGAAAATAGGAAGAAAGGGGTCGTCTGTCATTCTGAAAACGAAATGTAAGTTGCCTCTGACTGTTCAAGGGTCGCGGATAACGAGACGTCCCACGAACTTCGGCACATAGAGGTTTTCGTACGTATTCGGGTTTGCATATAGGGTACGTGCATGGTATGGTGTCTGTTGTACTCCCGAGAAACAGACCACATACATGTTTACCATGTTTTTTTTTAGGAGCGATTGACGTTCCTTCTTTCCCAATGAGGAAAGTCGGCAAGAGATGTGGAAATGTATGGGGTCTCGCGGCAAGTCGGCCTTTTCCATCCGGACTTACAAGCGTAGCGCCCTCTGAAAAAATGGGAGTTTGACGGCCCGTTTCTCATACTCCACTGTAGCGCCCTCTGAAAAAAAGGGAGTTTGACGGCCCGTTTCTCATACTCCACTGTTATGTTGTCGTGCACGTCCCCATGTCGTTTGGCCTTCTGCATTCCTCGTCCGCCATCTCCTTCCCGGTTCTCCTCCTTCGCCCAGTCATCTTACTGTTCGCTGCTTGTCCATGAATCTCTCTGTGATCATGGCCTCTGCCAGTGATCCCGCGGGACTGTCCTGCATACAGGATTGGGGGTATATGGAGTCCCAGTACGGAACACAAGGACCAGACAATGCACTGCCTGCGGCGCCTGCAGATGGACAAGCAGGAATGTACATGCAGCTTGTGGGTCCTTGAACGGAACAGGGAGTGAAACCCAGTGGCCCTTTGAAGACGGTGTGGGTACACAAGTCCCGTCTTCACGGCCTTTGGGGACATTGGGACAGGTGGGCACGCCTGTCGGGAGTGGGGTTCCATCATTGGACCCCGCTTTGTCACAGGTTTCAGAACCGCATGATGTGACGGGCAGGGTGACACATGTCCTAGAAAGTGATTCTGGGACACCCTTGCCTGGCTTCTGTACACCGATTCAGCCCATTGGTGGTTTCTCTTTTGGGGTCTGTGGTGAAGATGAACACAGTTTGCGGGAGCGTCTAAGGAGGCGTGCCATTGCAATGGCGGAAGGGCACTCATCTACTCCACATTGTGCACAACATTTGTCTTTCCACTCTGATGTAGCTCCACGTGACAACTGTCGTGTTGGGTCTTCTGGTTTGTCACCCATCACTTCCGCCGACCACGTTGCCAATGCTTCTCCTACGCAGAGGGGGGGGGCTGCCACCACGCCACCGGTGTCAGACGTGGCCGGAGGAGCAGGTGGGTCCTCGTCATCTCCGGCAGGACATGGCAGCCCATATAGCCCAAGCGTGGCATCTCAGCATCACGTTCCATCAGAGTACTTGATAAATCGGCTAATTCGGGACATTGAGGATGGCATTTCCCCCGCTCATAATGCTGCAGACACTGCAGCGGCGGACAATGTCGGTGGCAATGCAGCTGCCCCTTCACGAACACCTCCTCACCAATCCGGTGATCTGACTCCTGTGAATCGCACACCCACCCGAGCCGGTGGCCGCGGTCAATCTAGCCAGAGCCCTTCGGGTGTAGTCCGTGAGGCAAGAACTTCTCCTGCTGCACGTCCCCAGGGACAGCAAGGTCGGGCATGTCCCTCTGAAAAGAACAAGGACCGTTGGGGGGAGGACGAGACTGCATGGTTGTGCCGGTTCCGCAATGAGGTGAAGTTCTGATGATTGAGGGTACAGAGGCATACGGACGGGCAGGGGTGAAGGGGAACTTCTGGAAGTTCGTGGAGCTGTGTATGAAGGAGAAGGGTTACAATCGCGATCACGAGCAGTGCAAGAACAAGTTCAACCAAGTGATAGAGTACTACCGGAAACTGAAGTGTCATGAGCGATGGTCCGGACTTCCGAGCTACAGGGACATGAACAGCACGAGACGAAAAAAATACAAAGTCGATTTCGTACTGCGTCGAAGTTGGTATGACATCATCCACTCCGTTGAGAAGGACATGGACTCTATAAACCTCACGTATTTGAGGGACGGCGGTGACGACCCTCTGCAGCACAAGGACATTGACGACATGGGCGATGCAGATGGAGAGACAGAGGGGCCGAGCGAGGACCCAGGCGGCGGAAGCAGAGTTGCATCCGGCGGCTCACGATCGACAACTTTTGAACCTACGCTCGAAAAGAGGAAAAGAGTGTTTTCCAATGCGCGTGAGGCCAGCGTGCAAGCCGTGACAAGCGCAATGCGTGACCACACGACTGCGCTCACACGATCCAATAGAGAGTGTGCGAAGATGCAATGTGACACCACGCGTGATGTGGCAAAGCAACAGGCTGAACTCGCTACACAACTCATGCAGCAAGATTTAGCTGGGCGTGAGAGGGTGGCCACCATTGTCGGGGATAGGGTCGAGAGTGGATACAACCGCCTGGCAGATGCCATTCTCATGATGGGATCCCGAAGGAGGAGTCATTCATCTAATGATCCCCGTTCCAGTGAGTCTGAGTAAGACATTCCAGCGAGTCTGTGGAAACTGATTGCAGTCTCTATAGGTCTTTCGGAGCTTTTCCACGTGCTAAGCGTTGGTCTGCTAGTCTCTCTCCCTCTCTCTCTCTCTCTCTCTCTCTCTCTCTCTCTCTCTCTCTCTCTCTCTCTCTCTCT